GCACGGTTTTTATTATAAAATTACTATGATAAATTTTTTCAATAAATTGATCGACAAAATTTTAAAAATCTTTAATAATGGGCCAATCATATAGTGCTGAACTATGATAGTTAATCATTTGGTATCTAACACCCCAATAATGCATCAATATTTGCAGCCAAAACCTCCATTAGAAATAAAAATGTGTCAGCAGTATGATTTGGAATATTGTCGATTAAACTCATGAAAATCGATGCATCTAGCCTTTCCTATTCCTCTAAAAGCGCTGTTTTCAATTTTTCATATGTTCTTGGAAGTGGTTTCATTGCTGCATTCTACGTATCTTTTAGTATATTCCATATGTGATTTTTTGTGTAAGCGTGATAAACTTTCTGAGAGTACTGTACATATCAAAATTTGCCGAATAACCAAAATTAAATATCAATTTCTGCCAAATAACCAAAATAACTCAATTTTTGCCAAATAACCAAAATAACCGTTTTTTTTTTTGCAAAATAACCCAAGTTATTTAGCAGTCCGACCATAGTAATCTGGCGGATAATTTAATATATTTGAAAATTTTGGATGTCTTCAAGAAACTTTATTTTGATGTAAGGTAAATAACTTTCCATTTCTGGTTTTTTGTTAAATATGTTTTTTATAGGTTTTAAAAATGGGGTTGAATTATTATCTACAACGTTTGATTTTTCGAAAGAACGCATCATAGGATATTTGGTGTTAATATTTAGGAACACAGGAGAACAGTCTTCAGGGTATTTTTTATATAAAGTGCTTAAAAATAGATTTCCTTCCATAGAACATTTATCCCATTCTTTGCCTTTATATGTTGAATGCCCATCATATTCTGTCCATTTCATTTCATTACGTTCTTGTTTTGCGTTGATAATGCTTAAGTGAACTTCTAATGATTCATTGAGGCCATTTATCTGTTTTCCCTCGTTCTTGAATAATTAATACTTTATTAGCTTCAGGTTTAAACAAAATATTCTTTTTGACAAATAAAATAAAATAATACTTGCTATATCAAATATATAAGTACACGGTTCCCATTTCTGTCCGTCAATCCTACAAAAGTGAAGCCCGGCAATAATTGTGGATTCAATATCGTCCGTGTCTTGACATCTAAATGCACAAATTCCGAGACAGCATTTACTACAATCGAGGCATTCAACTTCCTTGGAAGGATCTTGATCTACATTCTTTTCGATATAACATGGTTCAAAATTGTCATAAGATCTTTGCACCAGATTTTTTAAAGTGTAACTATTCAGCATAAATGTTAACGGAGATTTAAACTTAAAATTAATCGAGATCCAACAATGATCCATGAAACTTTTATAATATATTTCAAATCCTTCTTTTTCGACAATAATTCTTTTTCTCCCTTTGTTTTGACACAGTGTAATATCAAATTAGAGCTTTTGTTCGGGTAGTATACTACATGAACAGAGAAAATTTCATGAATGTGTTCGGTATTATCAATTGTTGCATATATATGATTATTTTCCATGTTATCAAGAATATTTTCTGGGATAACTATTCGTATTTTTTTTGGCTCTATTATGTTTTTGTTGTCAAATGCTACTTCATTTGTACCAGAATGAAGCACCACGTGCCCAAGTAATTCTAGCAATTGTGCTTGTAGTTTATTATCCAATAGTTCATAGACTATTATGATATCTGAATAATTAATAGGTTTCCATTTGTCAAAATGACGTAATGTTTTTAACCACTTCTTTTGGTTTTCAGTGTCATCAATACCTGGCATAATTGTCTCATCACCTCCAACTACTCTATACTTCTCGCTAACACAATTTGTTGAATTTGATGAGCTTTCGTTAGCGTTATACGATAAAAAGACGTCGTAGTTAATTTCCTTAGAATCAGTACATGTTTTGCTGTGTAAGTCAACTTGATTTTGAATTTTACCTCCGAATTCTATGTACTTAGGAACTGAAAATGATTATTTTTTATTAGTAATTATTTTTTTAATATTTATATTTTTAAAGTATACTCACAGATAAATCCAAACTCTTGTGATATTATTTTAATTGCATTCAACTTTTGTTCAACTGTTTGCTGTTTCAGCGCATTTTCAATGGCATCAATAAATTCTTTCGTTGGCTCAATATCATCATGCGAAATGAATATACTACACTTGGCCAAATTTACATATGTGTATTCATATGATTCTTCCATATTTGATTTCTCTTCATTAGAATTTTTAATATCAATACCAAATTCTAATGAAGTAAGAGCCCAGGGTAAAGGAATGTTGACATTGCCATCTAAGACAAAATTTTTTGCAAATATTTCTTCAATTCCCTTTTTACATTTCATTTTATTTCGCTCCAGACCTTTATCAACCATATTTATTTTAACAGTGTTTCCTTCTTTAAGCTGAAATGCTTGTTTTTGAGGAACTCTTTCAATCAACTTATTGGGTGTAAAGTAACATCCATAAAGAAGTTTATGTTTATTAACAAATTGGGATAAACTTATTTTATTAGCATCTTTTAGAATATGGATTTGCCCATCGCTAAAAATTATATCTGATATTATAAGATTTTTTTCTTCTTTAATAGGAATTGTCTTTTCAATATTATTTTTAAGAAACCTCATATTATCCCCATATAGATATCTTCGTGATTTTCGAGCAAATTGCGTACCTCTGAAAGTTTCATATCAAACATTATGTCTCCATGATAAGTTTCTTGCGTTTCTTGCTTTTTATCTTTATGAATCACAATGTCAGTAGGGTGATCTTTTGGTACCGTATTAGACGAATTACGTGTACCAAAAAATCCAAATGGCGACAATGAAATTTTTTCCGTCATAAAAACTAGAAAAAAAACGTTTGGCGATACCACCTATATTTGTACGTACGTACGAAAAAAATCTGTAACACTTTTTCCAAAAGAAATAAAAAAATATTTGTAGTAGTACGAAAAAATCTGTAACACTTCTTTTTCCAAAAAAAGAGGTAATACAAATATCCTCTATTGTACGTAAGTACGTACGTAAAAAAACCTTTTTAAAAATAATAAATAAATTAATATAAAGGTTTTACAAAAATTTTAACAATATTATTGTTAAAACAAAATTTTGCAATGTTGACTTTATTTAACTGGTTAGAACAAGCTACTGAAAACGAAAAGATTAAATTCATTAAATTCAATGATTTGGATTTTGATGCTAGAAATCGTAAAAAAAAGGAGAATCCTTCATATTCTAGTGTTAGTGTTCCATTGAAAAGTATGCCGGGTTTAGAAATTACATATCACTTTTTGAACAACTTTTACGATCTAAAAATTACTGATAAAGAAATGGAAACTCTGTTTGTTAAGGTAAGTTAAGTACCATGTG